TCACTTCCTTCCCTGCCACCAAACGAATCCTGTCTTGTGCCACTTTCCCTTCCACCCAGTTCCCCTCCACCCCCAATCTCATGTGCTTTCTCAAGTCTGCCTTTGCCTTACATCCCCTTTTGGTTGGCAGTTGCATTCATCTCCCAATTTGTGACTTAGCAAGTGTCTCTTGAAAACACTTAATTCACTTTAATTTCATTATGCATCTGAGGAGAACAATTTATACAGGGAAAATGATTCTCACATTGCCAGCAGTGTGATTACCTTAATGATCTACGATAAAGGCTCCTTTGGGACTCTAAAGTTTTGCATGTGGTCTAGGAACAAAAAGAAGCTAACAATAAATAACTTTGCTTATTCTCAGAGGGGCCCAACTGTCCTCACCAAGCCTTCCTAAGAATAGCTAAGAATAACTAACATACAAGCCCATGGAATGGGCAATTGTCCCTGTGGTTGTCAAGATACTTTCATTTGTGAAAACAATTGGGATTTTCACTAACTGTTTTAACAGTGCTGCATGCTCTTTTATTTTGAGCTGGTTTTTCTGAAGCGTTGGAAAGGGACTATATGAGAGCATGGATCAAATGATTTTTCCTTCTTTCCCTCTTTGTGTTGAGTGCTCTCTTAGGAACCAAAAACACTTAGCTCCTTTTGGTAATGCTAAGGGAATATATTAATCTGGGAATTGGAGTTTTAACAGGGATTGCAATTTTTAAAATTTTTAGTGCAGCAGGTAAAGTATTTGCCTTGCACGTGGCCGACCCAGGTTTGATTCCTCTGGCCCTGTTGGAGAGCCCGGCAAGCTACCAAGAGTATCCTGCCCACATGGCAGAGCCTGGCAAGCTCCCCGTGGCATATTCGATATGCCAAAAACAGTAACAACAAGTCTCACAATGGAGACGTTACTGGTACCTGCTTGAGCAAATCTATGAACAACGGGAGCACAGGACAGTGCTACAGTACTTATTTTTATAAAGTTGTTCAAAATAGTTCATTACAGATAATATTCAAACACCAAACCCACCACTGTGCACCTTCCCACAACCATAAGAGGAAAGTGTATGAAAATTGTTGTATTTCATACTGGAGTCAGTTAAGCCCTTGCATAAAAGATTACAAACATATATGTTAAACCCAAACAAATGTGTGCTACTTTTGGTACATTAGTGGGTTAGGGTATAAGAGGTCATGTTTTGTGTCACTCTCTTCCAAGAGCTTTATTTTGTAGTCTCTGGATTTTAGCCGTTGATGAGATTACTTGGCACCAGAGGCAATTTGTGGGTGTGACTGCCAAGCTACTGAAAAACTGGGAAGCTAGGGGAAGGAGGTCCAAGTGAGTTTGGAGATCTCAGTCATGGGTCCCGCATACCTGGTGTGTAAACTCACACAAAAGGGGGCACGGCACCCACAGCGGCGGTGGCTCTATCTCTCCCACCGCCCGCGTTCGGTAGTCTCACCCTTCTCCCACCCCAGAGAGGTCGATGGCGATGGTCAGGCGGAGGAAGGAACGAGGGCCAGGCTGGTAGGTATTAGTCGTAGTTTATTCTGATTCTCTCCTCATCTGTCTCTGCTCTCTCTCTTCTTCTCTCTCTGCTCCCCATTCTTCCTCCCCAGCTACTTCATTCTCCTTCTCCATTCCCCTTCATCCTCCTCTCTCTTCTGATCCTCTCTGAACCCTCTTCTTCCTTCTGCCCCTAGCCCACTCCTACAGTCTAGTTAAATCCTCTCTCCATGAGGAATTGGGGAAACAATTACATAGGTGCGGTCACAATCAATAGGGGTAGAGATCAACAGGGGTAGAAATCTTAGCCTCAGGGAAGACCGCTCCTAGGACAGATCCTTCCTCAGCAGGAGGACCCACCCTAGAGCATAATCCCATGGGCGTGCCTCTCCTCTCCTTGTCCGACAAGCATATAAGAATATAATATAAATCATTTTGTATGGATACAGTAAGAAATATCTTAAACTTATAGAATTGCTCTCCTAGGGCCATCTCGATCTCAGACTACGGTGCTCAGGCCAGATAGTCTTTCCCACCCCTAGCAGGATCCTAGTCTTGTTGTTACCTTTGGATCATGACAGCATTTGTCTATGATCAAACTCTTAACTTATAGTTAAGAATCGTGGCACTTTGGCCTGGCCCATTTCGCTGCCAGGGTAGCTCACTGCTTGCCCTGGGTCCATTCAGTCCCTCGTCGGGACCCTGCTTTTGGGGTGTTAGGAACTAAGGGCAACTGAGGCTAAGTCGAGAAAGCAGATGCCCGGGAGTGAATAATATTCAAGGCCAATCAAATCCTAAGTTACAAAGCATAATGTTAACGGTCTTCCTGTATCTATACAAAAAGGATATTACTTTAAAGTAAACTGTTCATAAGGCATAAGGAGAGGAAAAAGGCAATATTTCACTCATACATATAAAATCATAGATTTCTGGGAAACTGATCTTACAAATTAACAAAGTCTGATTAAGGGGAAAGCTGATTAACTGGGTGGGAAGGAGAGCATAGGGAAGACTGTTTACATGTTTACATGTAAACACAATGGAAGTGGAAGTGCCTCTGGAGCACTGTGGTGGGTGTAACCAGATAAAACCTAAGCTTCTTGAAGGACAAAGCAATGTTACCCAACACCTGGGAAGATTTGTGAAAATATTTCCCCCACTGTTTTCTTTGAATTGCCCACTCTATTTTGCTGTATTGAATATATGTGGAGCCCTGCACCCCAGAGGTAAGACTGAGTGGCTTTTATTGGAGGAAAGTACTCTTTAGTCCCTTGACATTTTTCAGCAAAGTAGCAGCAATATTTTGCCTCAGAAGCAGGGATGGAAGAAGGGATGAAAGAAAATGAGACTGAAAGATAACTCACCTTCCAATCTCTGTCTTTGTTTTTTTCACAGTGAACACTCCTAGTGTTGAGTCAAGTTTAGGTTGATCTGAGAATCATCTCTCTTGACTTTCTCTGTCTTGGGAAAGCCAGCTGGCATATTGTGACTGAAATTTAGGAATTCCTGGATGGATTCCTTCGTCTTCCTTCCAAAAAGAGGAACACAGAATGGTTTTCTCTTCAAAGGGGGTGGTCTGATTTATTTTGCCATAGGGTGGACTCTAGTTAACTCTATCACAGTTAGAGAAGTGTGGGCTCCATAGGTAAGTTGAAATCACATCAGAACTGTAATGTTGCCTCTCCCTCAGTTATCAACATTACTTTATGCCAATTCTGTAGCTCCTAGTGGCTTCTCTTTTTTTGCACCTGTGAAACGATAAAATATGAATGCAAAAGTCTGTCTGTGCTCTGAGGTTTTCTGTCTTGTATCTCACCAGTAGTCAGGGACTAGAAAGTAAAAGACAAAAACTTTTTCACTTTGATTGCCCCCAATATGGTGAACTTTTGCAGAAAGTCAAGTTAGGCAATATAGATAAAGCTCAGGCAATCTGATGTTAAAGACATGTTTGATAATATATAGTTTTGGTGGAATTGTAAGATCTTTGAGGCATCTTTAAAGATTATTCAGAGCTTGGGATGTGACTTAAGTTATAGGGCATGTTTGTGTCTGGCATGTGTGAGGTTCTTTGTTTGATCTCCAGCAACACGTGAACCCCCAAGAACCCCCTCCAACTTAAGTAACCAAACAACACAACAGAACAAAACATAGCAAACCTCTAAGTATTGTTCTGTTCAGAGGTACTGCCATCTTTAGTACATTCAAGGGAAATCCCAGTGGGACTTACAGCCCACCTCTGAAGACCATTGGCATGATGTCTTTGTCATGGTATCAGTTTAATTCCCATTCCAAATGTATTATAATCCATAAATGCCTCCTTCATAAGCAGATACAATATGATACTCTAGCTAGTCCATATTAGACAGTGACCCATGTCTTTCTAATTCAGATTTCTGTTGCTCGGCATACGCCCAATTCCTTTGCTAGGCATACACCCAAATAAACTTGTTGACCACAGACAAAGCTGAAATACATATGTGTATTAAGAGTAAGTTGGAAATATGTATACCCTGCAGAGAAAGGTGGGTAAAAGGAAGGAGTGTGAAGCACACAGATAGTTGGTTAGAATTTGTTTCAAAAGAGAATGGGAATGGTTGTTTTCCTTTTTGTCCAAATATTTGGACTTGCCTGAGGCCATTTATTTCCCACCCTGACCCTCAAACACATTCCCTTTGACACAAGGATGGCCCAACATCTAATTCATCGAGCCCACAGTGGAGAGAACTCCACACCTGTGCTCTCCTAAGGGATGTGGAGTAATAATAATACCACACAAAATATGTCAGCAAATCCCTTCTTGGTCAGCACTAGTTAAGGGAGATTGGAAAGTTGGGCTGCTTTTGTGCTACAACACAAAGCACATCTGACATTAGAGTGAAGCAGGGTTTCTTGACCTGGTGCCCATGAGCAGGTTCCTAGTCTAACAACCAGTTCAGCCATCTGAAAAATTCTGGCTGAGGCTTCACTCCACACCTTCAGCAGATTTCACAAACCCTTCTTCACCAACCCCAGGAGTCAAAAGAGGTTGAGAGCCCCTGCCATAACACACTTTTTCCTTGTATTAAAATTAAAGAAAAGTGGTTTACAGAGTTATTGATACTTGAGTCTTAGGCATACAATACTTCAACATCAATCCCACCATTGGTGTCAACCTCCCTAAAAAAGTATTCCCTTATTCCCTCCCCACCCCACCCTTGCCTGTCAATTTGATAGACAAGTTTCAAAGTTTCAGTGCGTGCAGTTTAGACCATATTTACAGTTTTGTTGATGGATGGCTATATCACTCACCAATACCGATAGTGTTAACTGAAGCCCTGATTTACCCATTACTTTCAGTTCTCTCCTCCCCCCCCCCCCCCCCCCCCCCCCGATTTCTTTCCTTCTCTGTCCCTCTCCTGTCTAAACACTGGGCTTAAGGGATAACACTTTTTTTTCTGTGCCTCTGAGTCTAGGATCACAAAGCTGACTTGGCCTATCTTTCTCCTTTTGCTCTTCCTAGAAAAAGCAAGTGAGCCAGACCAAGATCCGGGTCATCTCCACCATCCTCTTCATCTTGGCTGGCTGCATCGTGTTTGTGACGATTCCTGCTGTCATTTTCAAATACATTGAGGGGTGGACTGCCTTGGAGTCCATTTACTTTGTGGTGGTCACTCTCACCACAGTGGGCTTTGGTGATTTTGTGGCAGGTAAGCAAGTGTCCTGGGGCCTCTCTCTCTTGGAGAGTTGGGGAGGGGGAGGGGGAGAGTTCTGTTGGTAATACTTTTCCAAATGAAGAGAAAGGATGAGTGGGTGAGGCTGATTAAAAAAAGAAGCCCAGTGGTAGCTCCACTGCCCAGTAAGAGGCAGGGAACCTCTCTGATGGAAATACAGGAGAGGAAAGCCAGTGGCTGCCTCTCCCCCGCCATGCTCACGGCCCTGATCATGTGAACTGTGCATGACCAGGAGGACCTTTCCTATGGAATTTGGGACTTCCCAATTGTACTAAGGCTCTTTGGATCACTTGAGATAGGGTGTTTTCACAAGGGGTAAATATGAAACTCTAAGTATGAAACTCCAGAGATATCAGCATGACTTTTGGCTCACCCCAACTTTCATGATATTTCCTGACACTAGGAGAGAGCCACTGTCCCTGCAAAAGTGCTGTGTCTTGCATGTCTGAATGTAAAACAAAGCGTTTGGGTTGGGGGGGGGGGGGGACACAACTGCTTCCAGGACTTCCTAATGGTAACATAATTGATTAGATTCTACCTGAGCACACGTGGGCGCAGTAGCCTTCATAGTAAAAACAGATGCCAGAGTTATGTTTTAGGAAGCAAAGGTGAGCTCCCATTAACATCATCTAGGATTGGGAACTTGAACATGAATTGAGCCCTAACTTCTTACATGCACCCTGGTGAGAAGGGATGAGCAAAGGAACATGCAACTCCTCTTTTCTTCCAACGGGAGAGTTCGAGGTACTCAGATGTGGGTTATTTTCCCAAGAGGTGACCATACTCATCAAACAATCATTTTTGGATTGGAATATTGTGTGTGTATGTGAGTGTGTGTGTGTTCCCCAACAATTCTTGAGTCAGCAAAAGTCTGTGCTTTCTTCCCAGGCTCAGCTCCAGGTTTTGATCTGAGTTGTGCCTTGGTTTCCCCATGGATTCCCAGGCACATTAGAAGGCCAGAGAACTCATCAGCTGGAATCTAAAACACAAGAAATTCAGGGGAGGGGTAAAGGACCACAGAAGGCTGCTTGTTGTAGAAAGGCACTTGTGTGCACATTCAGGATAGGTGAACCATTGCGTTGGTGGTATAGTGGTTAGCCTAGCTGCCTTCCAAGATAGGTGATGTGAAAGAGTGATTTTTGTAGGTCTCCCAAATGAGCAGCAGAAGACTTGAGCCATCCCTGTGTAGTTGCCAGGACATTTTTTTCTGCCCTTTTTTAATGACTGAGGACTAAGAATCTCAGTCATTACATTGAGGAAGTGATTAAATGAGATAGTACAGTGGGGTAGGGCACTTGCCTTGCATGTAAGCCAACCCAGGTTCAATCCCTAGCTTCTCATATGGTCCCCTGAGCACTGATAAGGAGTGATTTCTGAGCTAGGAGTAGCCTAGGGAAGAACATTGCTGGGTGTGACCCAGCCCCTCCCCACCCTTTCCAAACCCGAAAAGTAGTTGACAATAAAACCCAAAGCCTGGGACCCCACCTGTGTTTCCTTCCATGTGGTGGTCAGGCTTTGTCCACATATTGGGTAGAGACATCACCTGATGCCCTTTGAATAGAGGCCTGTAGCCTTGAGGAGACCCCGAGCCTATCCTGACCCCCAGAGCAAGGGCAGGAAGGGAGAGGAACAAAGATCTGGTGAATTCCTTTAAAGACTCAGGGAAATACCTCTCACTAAACATAGTTTCACAGACATCTTTCAGCGTGCTGTTCACCCCGAGTTATCATGGAACTGGGCTGTGCTTCCTGGGCTGTCCACAGGACAGTTTGAGGATCTGTGTAACAAAGTCTGTGCCCTCGCTCACTGCTCAGTTTGTCTTGTTCATCTGCTTATCCACATCTCAGAGGACAGAGTCCTCACACTCTAAACGCTACAAATGCTGAGATTTATAGGAAAGCCCTCTAGGTTTATCACAAACCATGGTGACAGTGGACACTTAGTACCTTCCAGCCCTTGACAGTTATCTTGTTCTGAAAAGTGACCTCCTCAGTCAGGTGGGGTGGAGAGTACCCCAAGCAGTGCTCAGGAGAGCCAGAGACCACTCTGGGTGGTGCTTGTGCAGACAGGACAGTGCTCTGGTCTAGTGGTACTGAGGACCCAAGGCCACATCTGTTTGTGTGTGGGAAGCCACAAGGTGCCAAGTATCAAACTCAGGGTCCCCACTTGCAAGACCTGCACTTGAGGCACTTCCCTAGTCCCACACGGCACTCTTTTTTCAACCCCCTTATAGCTGACGACAGAGCCATGTTTCCTTTGTTCCAAGTCTCCACACACAGGGGTGACCTATAATTCACGGTGACCCAGCCCTTCTTGTCCCCAGTATCCAGTTTACATAGACCAGTCTGAAGAATATTCAGCCCAACACTTGGAAGTTTGTCCCAACTTCTGGGCAGTGCTCTAAGAGCAATGTATGGAAGGATGTTGGGGCATTGAGAAGGTGACAGTGGTCATGATTTGATACACGTCAGTTCTGCTACAGATAAAATGATGATACTTAACACCGTGATGGATTTTAAGAGCTGGTTTATTTTGCAACCAACTTACTTTAGGGTAATCGGTCATCAGGACACTTTGAGAGCCCAGAATTTCAGAACTGGCACCCGCAAGGCCACGTACACAGTTGTTTATTGTCTTGTTTACGAGCGCACCCTAGTGGCAGCCTTCATCGGTGACTTGGTAAGGTAAACTCCCATAGTCCCATAGATAAAGCAGCAGAGAAAGGAAATGAAGGCCTGAAACCACTTAATGTTGCAAAACTCTAATTATGGAGAGGAAGCAATGTAGGAGAGCTGCCTAAGAGGTTTTTTTTTAAGTGCCACAAAACCAATAAAGGTGTTTTTTAAGAAAGGGTGGGCTAAACCAAACCAGAGAGGGTTGGCCACAGAACCCTTTGAGTGATACTTAGAGCTCAAGTTTTAGAAATGGCATGGTCTGTCCAGACCACATGGGAGGCATTGCTAAGTGGGCTTGGTTACTTTCAGAAGTGTTACAGGGCTTTTTGAACAGTGCCTGCCCACTTGCTTTGGGGAGCTTTTTTTTTTTTTTGTCCTTTTTGGGTCACACCCGGCGATGCACAAGGGTTACTCCTGGCTCATGCACACAGGAATTACTCCTGATGGTGCTCAGGAGACCGTATGGGATGCTGGAAATTGAATCTGGGTCGGCTGCGTGCAAGGCAAATGCCCTACCCACTGTGCTATCACTCCAGCCCCCTGGGGAGCTATTTTTGACACCTTCAGAGCTCAGACTGGTGCAGGAGGAGGTTACGTCCATCACCGAGAAAGACCAGTAATCACTTTTCTTATGATACTATTATGGTACTATTATGGTCAATGCATTGACCACGTCCATTGTCTTAGAAATGGCTTCCTAGGCAAGAGAGACAGTAAAGGGTGGGTGCTTGCCTTGCATGCAACCACTGGTTTTGATCCCTAGCACTGATATGGTCCCCAAGTTTTGCCAGGAGCGATTCCTGAGCACTGAGCCAGGAGTAAGCTTCCCTGAGCAACTCTCCCAGTGTGAAAACAGGCTGGTGTCAATTATTTCATGGAGATTCTTCACTTTTGTAATTGAGTGGCTTCCTTGGGCTGTGCTTGTAGGAGAGATAGACTAAATATGCTAATCATTCAAAACAAATGACTGGTCCTTGCCCTGGGACAATCAGTCAATGCGATGCAGGCAACAGGTCAATTTGGCTTGATGGATTTTTCACAATAATCCCTCTCTGTGAAATAAAGGGACTGGGCTAGCTGACCTTGAAGGTCGCATTCTGTTCTACCACGGTTAGTCAACTCAATCTAACTAACCTTTTGCATTGGCATCATGTAGACACCAGTACTTTATTCACGTTAAGTCATAATTGCTTGGGTCAGTCTTAAGGAATGCCATAAAGTCTAATATCACTTTCACTCGCCCACTCATCTTTTAGCAAATAACCACACGCTGAGAAGGAAGCGGTTTTAAAAATTCAAACCACTTGGTATTGTTTAAGTTTAAAGAAACTTAAGGAAAAAACAACCCACTGATCTGGTGGATTGTCCTTCGGCCGATTGTTCTCAGGCTCGGGTTGATGGATCAAGCTGGTCACTGACCTTTTTTGGTTTGTGGTCAAGATTTTAAGGAAGTTCAGCCATAAGTCAGACTCCTTTATGGAAGGGACACATCTCCTCCTTGCGTTCTCATTCCTTTCCTCCTCTTCCCTGCCCTGGTCTCTTTCGGGTCTAACTTATCTGAAAGCTGAGTGACAAGAGTGTGACAGCTCCTCTCTGGGGACTGCAATGTGGGCACTCTGCAAAGACCATGCACTAGATTAAAGTAATGTTTGGTTGTTTTCAGGGGGAAACGCTGGCATCAATTACCGGGAGTGGTATAAGCCCCTAGTGTGGTTTTGGATCCTTGTTGGCCTGGCCTACTTTGCAGCCGTCCTCAGTATGATCGGAGATTGGCTACGGGTTCTGTCCAAAAAGACAAAAGAAGAGGTAGGATCTCTTCTAAATCTGTGAGTGTTCGTGAGATCAGATTAGCTCCTATGAAGAATGATTTGCCTTGAGTGTTTTTACGGAATGGAGGGCTCCTAAGGCTTCCTCCACTTGAGTCATGAGCTCCATCCATGTCCAATGGAAATGGGAACTGCAGTTATTTCTGGCTCCCATGTTTTGGCAGGTGAGAAAACCTGGTGAGTCAGTCACTCACCAGCCCACGGATCATGGAAACACTAGTAAACAACGGATTGTAAAACATGAAAAGGAAAGGAAAATAAAGTAGAAATGGCGTCGACCATGGTGGGAGGAGGGTTGCAGTTGTTCTAGGCAATTCCTGACAGGCCTGGGAACACGCCCCACCCCCCAAGCGGGGCTAGGCAATCTTACTCCATTCTGTGCAGGGCTGAGTCCTGGGGGGAGGCAAACCGAGGGCAAGTGAGTCCAGGGGTTCCCCCAAGTCCTTTCTTTCACCCATGTTCTCTCTAGGTTGTCAGCTCTGTGAAAACAAATATTCCCCTCTAGTTCCCTCATGTACAGGAAAACCTCAACGAAAGCGAGGAGGAAGGAAAGGTCGATTTCATGGCTAAAACAAGTGCCCCCATAGAGCTTCTAGGAAGTGGGTTGGGGGTGGGAAGGTACAGTATTAAGAGGGCAAGGGAAGGCAAAGGGAAGATAAGAGCCAAAAAAAAAAAAATAAGAGGGACAACCTGGAGCTAGTGGGGAGGGCACTTGCCTTGCATCCCACCAACCCAGGTGCCATCTCCAGCTTCCCATAAGGTCCTCCAAAGCCACCAGGAGTGATTTCTGGGTGCAGAAACAGGAGTAAGCCCTGAGCACCGCCGGGTTGTAGCTCCAAAACAAAAAAAAAAAACCAAAAAAAGAGGGTCAGCCTCTTAAATGCCCCATCTCTTCCTTGGAGAGACACAGGTCAAGTTCAAATGGGGGGGGCGGGGGCGGTGAATCTGGAGGACAGCTACCAAGGGGAGAACTGTTCTCTGTCATGGCTGGCCCCAGGTGTTCATTTCCTGGCTGACATAAAGCCTCCGAGTCAGTTTCCACTGTCACCCACCCCAGATAGCTAGTGTACTGCCTGTAGGACAGCTGTGTTAAGGCAAGCGAGAGTAAACAGCAGAGACAACGAACTTTCCTAAACATAAAAGAAAACCCAAGTTACTCTTGGGCCCAGGAAGGCACGGATGCTGGGCCTTGTGCCCTGCAGAAGGCAGGCCAGCGGGGAAAGCTGGCCTCTGAGATTCGGAAAGTGCTCCCCTCCGCAGGCTTTGGGAACATGTCTGGTGCTCTGGGCTGGACAGCTTAGCCCTGGCCTGTTGGAGGGCGGTGGCTGACCCATTTATTAGAAAGGTGCAGCAAGCTTAACGGGACACTGACCCTAGTGCCCTGGTTCCCAGGATATACACCACATCACTCATCCAGTTCCCACTCTCAATCCTGGGGTGGGAGGGGGGAGGCCTCCAGCCTGTGTTCTCTCCTAGTCAACAAGAGATGGGGCGTTTGGGTGGCAGGAGAGATAGAGACAGAACAGCAGGTCACCATTCTCTGTCCCTGGGCGTCAGATCCCTCCCTCCAGGTCCCCCCGTACCCACCCCACTCCAGTCAACCTTCACCCTCAGGGACACCTGCTTTCAACTTTCAACCCCAGGGCTGGGCTGGGCTGGGCTGGGCTGGGGTGGCGCCGGGCTCTCCCCACCACCCCACCACCTCCAGCATTCTCAAGCACGCTCTTGCTCTCCTGTCCCCGTCCCCATCCCTTCCAGGTGGGTGAGATCAAGGCGCACGCAGCCGAGTGGAAGGCCAACGTCACGGCCGAGTTCCGGGAGACGCGGCGGCGGCTCAGCGTGGAGATCCACGACAAGTTGCAGCGCGCCGCCACCCTGCGCAGCATGGAGCGCCGGCGCCTGGGCCTGGACCAGCGGGCGCACTCGCTGGACATGCTGTCGCCCGAGAAGCGCTCCGTCTTCGCCGCCCTCGACACCGGCCGCTTCAAGGCCTCGTCGCAGGAGAGCATCAACAACCGGCCCAACAACCTGCGCCTCAAGGGCTCCGAGCAGCTGCACAAGCACGGCCAGGGCGCCTCCGAGGACAACATCATCAACAAGCTCGGCTCCACCTCGCGGCTCACCAAGAGGAAAAACAAGGACCTCAAGAAGGCCCTGCCCGAGGACGTGCAGAAGATCTACAAGACCTTCCGCAACTACTCCCTGGACGAGGAGAAGAAGGAGGAGGAGACGGAGAAGATGTGCAACTCGGACCACTCGAGCACGGCCGCGCTCACCGACTGCGTCCAGCAGCCGGCGGCCGAGAACGGCGTGGTCCCCAGCGACGCCAAAGACAGGGACCCGGAGAACAACTCTCTGCTTGAGGACAGAAACTAACGGGGATGGGACCCTCGGCTCCACCGCCGTTTGCGCGTGCGCGTGCGTGGACCTGTGTGCGTGCGTGTGCGTGCTTTGAAATCTTCACCCCGACACGCGTGCCTTAAACAGACTTCTTGCTCGTCCGAAATTACATAGCGTTGGAGAATATCTTTCACTGTGCCATATACCACCCAGAAAGCTCGCCCTGCCCAGCGGAGCCGGAGAACCAGGCCCCCGCACTCCCGAGGGCGACGCAGGGATGCCCAGGGAGTATTGGCGCCAGCGTGGGGGGTCGCGCCGGCCACCGGTGTCCAGGACGCGCCCGGGGCCTGCCTGGAGGGGTCTGCATGCCGCAGTGTGCAACTCCCAAGGCTGCAACCAGCCATCAGGAGGTGCTGTCTTGTCCTAGCACTTTGCCCTAAAGGGCAGTCATGCTGAGAGCAGCCTCCTGGAAGCAACGGGCGTTATCTCTGATGTAGAGGCCCCTTCCCAGAGCCTGTGTGCTTGGGGGGCTAGAGCTGACCTATTGGCATGTGCTCTGAGCTGGATTTTTTTTCTTTTTTTGATGCAAACCCATTCGGCGGCAAACCTAGTCTTTCTAAGTTCCAAATGAATGTCTGTGCGACCCGAGAGCACCTGAAATTTGTTGGAAGCACATAAGAGCACAGGTATTGAGAGGTGCGATTGAGTTAAAAAAAAAAAACAAACCACACTAACACTTGCAAACATGTCACACTGTGGAGATTGCAGTCACCCATGGCCGAGGCCTACTATGTTTTATTTTAGTTTCTTCCTGTCTCACAGGGGTGGGGAGCCCACGTGCAAGCTCTTCTGAGTGTTTGGCCCCCACCTCAGCAGAGTGATATAGGAAAATTCAGGCACTTTCCTCATTGGGTGCCATGGTGAAAATATGCCTCTGCGTTCCCTTTTTCTAGTGGAACATTGGTTAGAACTGGTTTAGATGAACAGGGGGAAATATACCAAAACTATTGCCTTGCATGATGCCAGTGGCTTGCTGTTCTATCTAGCTAGTCCTTTTTTTTTTCTTTTTTAAATACAAGAATAGACATCCTGCATGTCTGAGACATACCTAGAACAACCACGGTATCATTCCATCTCAGGGCTCTCTGTCCCACTGGGTGTCCCAGGTGAGACCTAGTCAGAAGATCCAATTCTGCTCTCACCAAGCAAATGGGAAACTAATCTTCCAACCAACCCTTGATTGAACTGTCATCATTGCTTGCAGCTTAAGTGCCGTTAGTACCATGGAGGGGGAGGGGTATATGACTTAAATGAAGTATTTTAAAATGTTTCACTTTTATGTTTGGGTGCTTTTTTTTTAAATTTTGAGAGCATCACTTCTTCCCTTTCTCTTTGTTCCACCCCTCAGCCCCCTGGTTAAAGTGGTTTTGAGGTATACAATATCTGACATGGGATACTTCTGCGTGTTCCTTGGGCTCAGAGTTTTTGGGGAAGCAAAGTGGGGATGCAGGGAGGGGCTGACCAGTCCTAGTTTTTGTGAAGAGGATTTCAGATGGCTTTTCATCAGAGAGGGTAAATGTGTTATTAGATCAAACACATCCTGTGATGCCTCATTCTTTACTTTAAAAAAATGGACCATTGAGAGGTTCAAACTTAGCACTTTGGTTCACACACATAAGCATTATGGATTTGGTGACACTGGGATATTGTTGGGGGGGGGATTTTACATGACTAATAGAGAGCAGATTGATCAGAAGGTCCTAGGATGAGGGGAGATTTCTAGAAAGCATATGCTTTCTCACTTCCCTAGAGAACTAATTCCATCACATTCTCAGCCACAGGAGACCTCTTCCTCTCCCTTTCCCTGAATTTCTAGCTCTTCCCCTCATGGAGTACACGCAGAACCCCCTACCCCACCCCACCCCCAGTGTCAGTTTTTAGATTCAAGTTTAAAGTTTTGGCCTTGCTTTTGGAAGAGAAGTCAAGAAGGAGTGACTTTGAGACAGCCTGTTCTATCCCAGCTGGGTTTGGGTTAGCTCCATTGGGCTGGAGAAATGGACTTCCTGTGTACACATACTAATTGACACTTGGGAGATGTTTGTGTGGTGTAGGCATTCATACTTCCTATGGGCATCATTTCAGTCTGATAAACCGTTTTCAGAAATTGGAGGAAACTGAGAATTTTCCTCCAATTTCTATGTTAAGTCAAAAAGCTTCTTGATTGAACTATCCATGGATCTCCTTTGTTTGGGTTCCTACCTATTGTGACTTAGTAACTTCTGGACAAAGAGCCCCCCCGACCCCCGAACCACCACTGCCAAGCATTCATACAGTGGCTTCCATGGGCAGGCATGAGATTAGGCACTTTATAGTCATAAACTCACTGAGACTTCACAGCAACACTGGGAGGGAAGTGTTCGCAAACAGGAAGACAGATGTGGAGGCTCAGGGAAGCCAAGTAACATCTTATCAATGGCAAGAAGGTGGGAAAGCTGGTTTTCAAAGGCTTTGACCAAAGTCTGCTTTTGACTTTGCTATGGTGTCTGTATCTATACTGTCATGTGGTGTGTGTTCGTGTGTGTATGTGTGTGTGTATGTGTGTATGCATGCGCATGTGTGCGTGCACTTATATCTTTCTAGATTCATAGACACAGCTTTCAGACATAGGAGAAGATCACTGTTACTACCAAGAGGAATTTAGGTCTGTGTGTATTTGTTTGTTTTTGGTTTTTAATTTGGGAGTGCTCTTTGTGCATCCCTTCTGTGTTGTTTAAAAATGCCCTTTGGAAGCACTCTTTTGCACTTTACCTGTTTACCTTGCAGGAATTCCGCATCTAGCAGGAATAGAACAATTTAAAGCACTAAGCTGCACACTCTACAAAACAGAACAGGGGTTGGTGTGTGTATAATACTTCTCCAATGAGTCAAGTCTCAGTGATATGGAGGGATTGAAACAAGCTCTTAGCTAAGAGTGTGGAAATCTTCAATAGCCCATTCCTGTGGCACAGATAGGGCCAAGAACCTGATGAATAAAATCACAGAAGGATCCTCTGTGGAGATTGATCCATTAAATTTGTGGGCCAAGTGCCTGGCAAACTGTAATATATTATCCAAAGGAGAAGCTGAGAGGGAATAAGAAGTTGGAATCCTCTTTGTATAAGCTGAGATTTGTGGGGAGGCCAGTTATTTTGAAGCGGCTTGAATGTTACCTTCCTAAAGCTGGAGCCAAATAATAGGTAGAATATATATGGCTATAGAAAAGCAGTTGCAAATTCTGTAAATACATGTGGAGAAGGCAAATCAACTACAGATTTTGTATCATCCGCCCTGCCTTGCTCTCCAACCTGCACGCCCTGCTGACCCTGAGCCCCAAACAAAGGCTTTAATTTGCACACGAATCAGCTCATCTACAGAATATTCCGTGACAATGGCACCTTTTTACTTTTTACTGGAAATTCCTCCTAGACCAGTGCTGGAGACTTACTGGTGAGAATCGAGGGTCAATTTAGAGAAACTGCAGCTCAGTACTCCTAAACCCAAGTTCGAGACTAGAATGTGCTGCATTTAGCATAGGGCCTTCATATGTGTTGTGGTCAGAGATGTCCCTGACCTACGGTTAAGGTGACAGATGACCTGTCTGGTGATTGTGGGTACCCAAGTCCCCTTGTACTTCCCTTAGCAGCATACCATGGGAATCGAACACAGATCAGGAATGGTTAAGTCCCTTTGAGGGTTGCAGGTTCTCTGACTGAACCTTCCTAGCCCATGACCTATTGACATTTATTAAGAGTATTATAAGCTGGATTTGTGAATACTGGATAATGAACCCATTACTTTGAGGCTTTGTTGAGACCTTCAGTCTCCTTCCCTTTGGGGGATTGTTTTCTGGGTAATTTGTAGAACCAGATGTATTGGGGAACCCAGTGTTCAAATTTAGGTCAAGTCTTTCTGTTCTCACTAGTAGCACAGTATCAGCAGAGGGCCCGTGCCCTGGGCCCTTTGTGCATGGTTTCAAATAGAGAATTTTTAGCTGTTGCTATTTTCAGTCAGTTGTAGCAAAGGTTCCTTTTGATTACTTCTGAATTCATAAACTACAGACAGACCTTGTCCTTTGTGTCTCACTCAGCCACACACCAGCCCACACAGAACATGGCTGCTCCATTCTGTATTGAAAGTGAGCTGCACATGACATTATTAGCAAATCATTCCCTTGCTTCCCTCTGAGATGTTATCATTTCCTGATGGAGTCAATTCTGCTCATCTATTTGTCTGCTTGGTTTGGGGGGGGGGTAGTGAGAATGGGGCCAGAATTTGGGTAAGGCAGACTTGTGCTTACTGTATTGGGTAAGAGCGCAAACCATTCAGCGTATTCCATGGTCCCAGACTGCAGGAATGCATGTAGGAAAATAAACATGTAGGACTCTCCAAAAGAGGAGGGTGAGGGGATTAGCACTGCAGTTCATGCCTCGGCTTTCCATGTCCTGCTTATTTCCCATGTGGGAGCTATTCTTTCTCCATGCCAGGAGGCATTTGTGTGAAAAGATAGTAGCTGCATGAGATTTTGGTGGGAGAGCCTAAGAGCGAGTCAGCAATGGCCTTAATAAAAGAAAAGCGATCTCTCTCTGAAGCGAAGGTGACTTGAATATGCCAGGTGGGTGCCGTAGTTCTGCATGTGCAACCTTGGGGATAGCATGCCCCTTCGATGGCTGTAAATAAAGCCCTGTGCTCTGTCCTTACCCCACAAATCAGCTGCATTTATTCCCTCTCCTCTCACCATTTGTCTGACTTTGAGTCCTCCCATGGCCGCCCCTTAGTCACATGACATCAGCACAGTCACATGACATCAGCACAGTCACATGACATCAGCACAGCCACATGACATCACACAGTGGCACAGAGGAGAAATCAGAACTCTTGACAAGTTTACTGAAAGTGATGATCATGTTCACAGGTGCCTACAAGACTTGGAATCTACTCTGTGTTCGATTCTCAAATGAAAAATCCCAAATAGTTCCCTGTTTATTAAAAAAGAAAAAAAGTCCTGAGAGGACTCTTGCTCCATTAATATGGCAGACCTAAGGATTCACGGCAAAACTTCTGGGCCATCAGGAAGTCAAGTTAGAAGGGAGAACTACAGCGGCGCCTAGAAGAGATATTTCAACCAACTCACAAGGCAGCCTCTGGTCACTTCCCCACTCCAGAGCGACAGGCAGGGGACACCCAGTGACAATGACAACGATGACACTAATCCATGTGTGGAGGTGTTTTATCTAGTTTTTTTCTCTCTCTGT